GATTCTATCCTGGAGCAGCAGGCAGCAGAAGCCAACCACCCGGAGTCCCAGCAGACCACAATGACTTCTGGAACTGAACACCGCTGCTGCTGTGCTGATGGGACCTTAGAGGCAGGCCCTAGCTGAACCTGTTTCACCACCTACTTGATCTCCCTTGGGCTGTGAGGGTCTTTTCATTTCACTTAGCCGGATGTGAAACAATGTTCTGTCCTTTAAAATGTGCTTTTTCACCACTGCCTTTCACCCTGTCCGACAAAGGCAGTCATGAAAAAGCACGTTTTAAAATTAACATTTCCTTTTGAGAAAGTGATCAGTACAAGAAAAGCCAGTTCCAGAGACCCAACGCCTTGTACTGGGCACTGCGTCCACATTGGTTATGACAGCCTGCGACCTCTACCCACAGGCATGACAGCCTGCTCCTCCCCACTCCCAGGCCATACTCCCTCCAGATCTCAAGAGGCTCTGATCACCTCCTGGAGAATGTGCCAATCAGGACGGGTGCACCTGTAGTCCAAGCTAGGCCGGAGATTCCCAGGATGCTGAGTCATGTGCTGTACAGTTTGGCTGGAGATGGGTGTGGCCGCTGCTGCGTGTATCTATCACTCCAATAGTGGAAAAAATGCAGACTTTCCCATAAGCAGCCAACCAGGCACATATCCAACCCTGCTGGTAATGGGCACGCCAGATCTGACTGCACAGAAGACAGGTTTGATTTTTCTGAAGGAGGCAAGGTGCCAGTGATGTATACCCGCTATTTTCCTGCACAGGCACTCACCTACAGTTTCACCCAGTTCTGCTTCGCATCCCAAACCGTAGGAATCCAAGAGTCGAACACTTTAATGGTATCTAGACTCTCTTTTTTGTTTCATCCAGTCATTGCCTGGAGCACACATGCATTCTCTCAGCGTCCTGAAGGAAAGGGAAATATGGACATGGTACTTTATGCCAGGACTTCAGAACTAGGCCAACACTCTCCTTGTTATTGCATATTTATTATGTGGCATACTCTAGGACCATCACACAAGTACTTTGAAACTACAACCAATTAAAGTTTTGAATTAGATGTGTAAGTTAGTTAGAGGCCAAATTGTTCCATCATCTGATTCAGGGGACTGGGGAATCCATTCATTTCTCAAACATTATTAGAGACAGGCTTCTTATGTGATTAGTTCTGGGCAGTGGACATCAGTAACTAAGGTTCTGATCCTCCATGAACTTACGGTCTAACGGAGAACAGAGACACCTGAATTATAGATGATCATGCTGTGTGGAATGTGCTACAGGGGAGAGAAGCACAATGAAGGGACTTCCTAAGGTTCTATGTCAAATTAGTGGTGTCACCAAACCCACAGAAGACAAGTCCCTGATCTAACACATCTTAACTTTTTTTTTTTTCCAGACAGGGTCTCGCTGTGTCACCCAGACTGGAATGCAGTGACATGATCTTGGTTCACTGCAACTTCTGCCTCCCGGGCTCAAGTAATCCTCCCACTTCAGCCTCCCAAGTAGCTGGGACTACAGGCACATCCCACCACACATGGATAATTTTTGTGGTTTTTGTAGAGATGGAGTTTCACCATGTTTCCCAGGCTGGTCTTGAACTCCTGGACTCAAGCAATCCCCCTGCCTTGGCCTCCCGAAGTGCTGGGATCACAGTCATGAGCCACCGCACCTGGCCCTAATACATCTTTATCTGAAGTTGTCCACATCACACTGGGACTCAGCCCTGTCTGCTAGGGACATATTGAAGGTGGATGTAGCAAGAAGCTAAGATGAAAAGAAGTTGACTCTAGACAAAAAATGTCAAAGAGGAAGAGTTAAAGACCTGTTGTGAGGTGATGGTGAGGAAGATGGCACCCGAGATGGAGAACTAGCTTTGGTTTAGGTCATGCAGGGATGGACTGTGAAGACCCTTACACACTGTGGTAGAAGAGGGTTTGGGGAGTGAGGAGTGATTTTGCTCTAATACTTTTCTACCGCAGGTGAAGAAATTTGAATTAAAAGCTCAGTTTTTAAGTACTTCATCATTAATCCAAACAAAG